TCCCACAGCCATCACAGGGACCCTGGATCAGGGAATGGTGCCCTGCCACCATGTCCTCTGTGAGCACACAGGGCCAAACAGGGCGTGGTGTCCTGTAGTGATCACAGGGACCCTGGATCAGGGAATGGTGCCCTGCCATGAGCACACAGAGCTGAGCATGGCACAGTGTCCCACAGCCATCACAGGGGCCCTGGATCAGGGGTCCCCGCTGGGCTGGGAGAAAAGCAGGGCCAGTTGGTAACTCCACCCGTGTCCTGACAGGCTGAGAGGTCGTTTTCCCTCCCCACAGCAGATCCCGGCCCCGCAGAGGGATGGGATGTGCTGCTGGGAGCTGCCAGCAGCCTCTCCCCTCCCGGCAGCTGCTCATTAGTGAGGTGCAGAGCCCGGAATGTTATTCATTGCTGTGATTACACATTCAGATAAGCACGAGTCGTGCCGTTATTGCCATGTGATTACAGCTCACTCTGGGATTAATCAGGTATGTCTCTCCCTCAAAAAACCCTGGAATTCAGTCGCAGAGACCCGCAGGAATAGCCAGCAGGAGGGAGGGAAGTGCCGGGATGGGGACAGGGAGGGACAGGGGTGGGGATGGTGTGGGGACAGTGCTGGTGACAGGGATGGGAACAGTGATCAGGATGGGGGCAGGGGTGGGGATGGGACTGGGAATGGGGACAAGGCTAGAGATGGTAATTTTGGGAAGAGCAGGTGAGAGGGACAGGGAGGGAGATTGGTCAGGGAAGGCCGAGCACAGTTTGGCTGCAGGGGGTGGTTCCACATGGACACAGAGGCACAGCAGTGTGGCAGTGCCCAGCTCACGGCACAGCTCTGCAGCTCTGGGGCTTCCAGAGCAGAGCAGGAACCTTCCCTGGATGAGGTGGCACCTTCCCTGGATGAGGTGACACATTCCCTGGATGAGGTGGCACTGAGTGCTGTGGTTTAATCGACCTGCTGGTGTTCAGTCAAAGGTTGGACTCGCTGATCTTGGAGCTGTTTTCCAACCTAAATGATCCTGTGATTCCATGATGTGCCCGAGCTGAGCTCCGGGGACAGTGTGTGCACCAGGGTCTCCTGTCCATGCATTAGATGCATCTGGGCACAGGGTTCCCCTCCTCTCCATGCCTGGTGTGGGCATCTCCTGGCATGTTCACACGGACACTGGGTACAGAGGAGATGCAGACAGGGCAGGGAGCCAAACCTGCCCACCAGGCTTCCCAATCCAGCAGCGCTGGACAATCCTGCCTCCCCCAGTCTCTGCCCCACTAAGGCTCCACATGGCACCTGCTTCCAGTAAGGCACAGCAGACCCATGGCACCACCAGGCAGAGCAGCCAGAGAGCATGGCCCTGTGCCACAGGATCTGGGTGTGCCAGACAAACCCAACAAACAGCTGGGAACACAGTCCCAGTCCCAGGCAGAGCAGGACCCGAGCCCAAGGCACTGTGGTGTCCTCACACCAGCCCAGCCCTGGCATTGTGACACAGTGACAATGTTATCACAGAGTCACTGGGGTTGGAAAAGCCCTCCCAGCCCGTGGATCCACCCTGGGCCCCATCCCCACCTTGGCCCCCAGCCCAGAGCACTGAGTGCCACGGCCAGGCCTTCCTGGGACACCTCCAGGGATGGGCACTGCAAACCTCCCTGGGCAGCCCCTGCCAAGGCCTCACCACCCTTTCCAGCAACAAATTCCTCCTCCTGTCCAACCTGACCCTCCCCTGGCCCAGCCTGAGGCCGTTTCCCCTTGGCCTGTCCCTTGTTCCCTGGCAGCAGAGCCCGACCCCCCCCGGCTCCCCCCTCCTGTCAGGGACTTGCAGAGCCAGAAGGTCCCCCCTGAGCCTCCTTTGCTCCAGGCATGGAGATACCCAAATCCTTCTCTTCCTTTCCCCTGTGGCCTGTCCCTGCCACCCACAGCTCATCTCCCAGTGCTCCCAGTGCTCCCAGTGCTCCCAGGTTCATGGCATTGCTCACAAAGAGCTCAGGGTGCAGGGATAACATGGATAACCTGCCCATCCATGGGACAGGGGTCACAGAGCAGCTCCCCTGGCCTCCCTGGCCCTGCCCACACCCAGGGTGATGGACCAGCACTCACTGTGATCCAAGGAATTATTGCACTGAACACTGAGGTATTAATTATTGAGCAGCAGTTAAATGCTCATTAGATAGATTTAAACATCGAGACCCAAAGAGCCATTAAATATGGATTGAGGAGGGTTGGGGGATCTGGTGATTGACTGAGCTCCATCTCCTTTGTGCAGAGCTGCCAAAAGCTTCCCAGCCCATCTGAGCTCTCCCTGCTGCAGATGTGTCTGCTCCATCCTCTGAAATGTCACCTCCCAGCTGCCAGAGGTGGGGGAGAGACAAGCTCTGGGAAGCAGGAGGGTGTGGAGGAGCAGCTCAGCCTGAGGAGGACGTGGCTCTGGCTCCAGGTGGCCCCGAGCAGGGATCATTCTCCTGGCACAGGCCTGGCCTTGTTAAACCCAGCTGTGGTGTCCTGGATGGCAGCTGGAGCTCTGCAGGGCCACAGCCTTTCCCTTGGGACGGGAATTCCTGGAGGCCCAGCACGGCACAGGAATCCTGGGCTCTGGGGCACCCTCTGAGTTCTCCTCTCTCCCCACCCCACCTTGCTCTGCCCTCCCCCAGAGCCCTCAGCACGCTGACAGCTCTGCTCCAGCTGCACTCCCCGTCTTCTTTGCAGGAAAAGGATCTTCCTGCCTGACAGAAAAGCTGCCTTATTTAAAGCCCAGTCGCAAATTATTCCTGCCAGAGCCAATATCCAGCCCGTGCCTGCGCCCTGCTCGCGGTGCCTGCGGCACAGCTTCCCCTTCTGAGCTTGGACTTGATGATCCTGGAGGTCTTTCCCAACCTTAACCATTCCAAAGGTGCAGGCAGGGCAGCAGGACGGGGTGAGGGATGTGGGACAGCAGCAGAGCACGGTCACCAGAAGTCAAATTACGGAGGTGTGTGTGGGTTATTATTAATTGTTATTAATTACGGGGTATGGGGGGGTTGAGGGGCCTCTTGAGTTTACCAAAGGGTTGTGTCCCTTCAGTGCTGTGACTTTACAGTGGAAAGGTGGGAAGATCCCAGGCAGTGGGACTGTTTTTCCTGGCAAAGGTGACCAGCTAATCCTGTGGTCCCTCTTCCCTTGGGATTTGGCAGTGCCCACCCAGGGAGCTGTGGTGGGAGGAGGCAGGTCCCACCTGGGAAGGGAGAGCCCAAGGATGCTCCAGAGCTCCCTGCTGCTCCCTGGCTCCCCAGGAACGTCTGCACCAGTGTTCCCAGGAGCTTTGTGGCTCAAACAGAACCGTTTAACTTTCCATTTTCAGGTGGGTGAGGGGAGAACCCAGGGGCTGGGTTTGGGGAGCAAAGTGGGCATTCAGCTTCTCTGGGGAGACCTACTTGGACATTGGGGGTGCCAAGGGCTGGATCCATCCGTGTGTGCCAAAGGAGGGGCTGGCCAGGGGCCAGGAAGGGGCTCGGAAGGGTCCAGGCAGAGTCTGGGCAGGATCCGGGCAAGGTCCAGGCAGGGGCTGGGCAGAACTCGGACAGAATCCAGGCAGAGTCTGGGCAGGGGCTGGGCAGGAAAGGCAGAGCCCTTCTCCCTTCATAGCCAGCCCCACCTTGCTCTGCAGCCCTGGGTAAGCACAGGCAGCTGCACCCCATTTTTCCACTGCAGGGTGGCTCCCCTGCCTCAGCTTATGCACAAAGTCAGCCAAGAAACGGGTGCAGATGGCAGGGAAGGTGCTACCCAGGGGCAGCTTGGGTTTGTAAGGGGAAATTGTGATTCACCAGCCAGCCTGGCAGGACAGGAGGAGTGGTTGGTGGGTGAGGAGGGAGCAGGGGATGCTGTTTAGCTCAGTTTTATTAATGCTTTTCAGGCTGTGTTCTCACAGGCACCCTAACAGGCAAGATGAGGTGAGGTGGACTGAAAATTTGCTGAATGGCTGGATCCAGGGGGTTGTGAGCAGTGGTACTAAGCCCTGGTGGAGGCCAGTGACCAGTGGGGTAGCCCAGGCATCAAACTGGGGCCAATATTGTTCAACATCTTCATTAATAACTCAGATGATGTGGCAGAGCACGCCCTCAGCAAGTTTGCAGGGTCAGTCTGCAATGTCCTGGTGGGGGGAAGTGGAAGGGCAGGCACTGATCTCGTTCCTGGTGACCAGGGACAGGACCCGAGGGAATGGCAGGAGCTGTGTCAGGGCAGGGTCAGGTTGGATCTCAGGACAACCACCCCCAGAGGGTGGTTGGCACTGCCCAGGCTCCCCAGGGCAGTGGGCACAGACCCAAGGCTGCCAGAGCTCAAGGAGCGTTTGGAAAACGCTCTGAGGGACAGGGTGGGATTGTTGGGGTGCCCTGGACAGGTCCAGGAGTTGGACCGGATGATCCTTGGGGGTCTCTTCCAACTCAGAATATTCCGTGATTCCAGATTTCTCTGACTCCAAACCGGGAGGAGGGACGCGCCCGGCAGATGGATTTGCTGCCATCTAGAGCAGAGAACGGAGCTGCGACCTCGCGGAGTTCAACCCAGGGAACGCCAAGTCCTGGGGAGGAATAACCTCACAGCACCAGGAGAAAGCAGGGAGAAAGCCAAGAAAGGAGTTCTGGCTGACAGCAAGCTCATGGCACAAACCACAGCCAGCAGCATCCTGGGCTGTGCTGGAGGTCGCCAGGAGGAAGGTGATCCTTCCCCTCTGCTCAGCAGTGGTGAGACCACCCCGGGAGTGCTGTGTCCACTTCTGGGCTCCCCTGAACAAGGAAGACACGGATGTGCTGGAGAGAGTCCAGCAAAGGGTGATTCTGGTGGCTGGTGACTGGAACATCCCTCCTGTGAGGGGAGGATGAGTGAGCTGGAGCTGGAGAAGAGACAGCTCAGGGAGATCTTGTCAGTGGGTACCAGGATTAGGATGGGAAGGGGAAGAAGGAAATAGATCCTTCTCAGCGCTGCCCAGTGACAGGACAAGAGGCAATGGGCACAAATTAAAAAAAAAAACCACCCTGAAATACCACCTAAACACAGGGAACCACTTTAGTTCCTGTGAGGAGGACTGAGCACAGGCTGCCCAGGGAGGTTGTGGAGTCTCCTTCCTTGGAGATATTCAAAATCCAACTGGTTGTGCTTCTGGGCAAGCTGCTGCATCTGACCCTGCTTGAGCAGGAATTGGACCAGGTGACCTCCAACCTCAGCCACCTGTGATTCTGTGGCAATTCCTCACTTGCCAGCCCTCCCTTCCAGCCACTCTCCGACTCTGGTGCCTCACATGCCCAAGCAGCAGCCTCCTCTTTCCACCCCCTGGCACCCAGCCCGAGCCTGCAGATGGAGAGAAGCAGACACGGCCTGTGGAAAATAATGTCAGGAACAGGATTGGAGAGAGCTCCAGCTGGCATGTGAGGGGTGGTACTGGGCTGCAGAGGGACATCCCAGATCCATCTGCCACCTGGAAGCTGCGGGATGCCTGCCCAGAACCACCCCCAGCCCAGGAACACCAGGGCCCTCCTCTGTGGGCAATCCCTGGCTGCTTCTCCTCCCAGGGGAATGGCAGATCCTTGCTCTGGGACCTGCTGTCCCCATGTCAGGGAGCAGCAGTGACTCTGCCCCTTCTCCTGGAAGGGAGACAGACTGTCCCCTGTGCTTCCCTCCCTGCTGGCAGCCCCTCCCTGCCTGCACCTGCCTGCTGTGATCCCACATCCCTGCTGCTCCCAGGGCCTCCTGCCCTGATCCTGCAGACCAGGCTGTGGCTGCGTGTGCTGCTGGCACACGTATCTGTCTCCTGGGAACACTCACCATCCCTGGAAGTGTCCAAGGCCAGGTTGGACAGGGCTTGGAGCCACCTGGGCTAGTGGAAGGTGTCCCTGCCATGGCAGGGGGTGGCACTGGGTGGTCATTGAGGTCCTTTCCAACCCAAACCATTCCATGGTTCTATGACTCCATGCTGTCCCTCTCCCCCATCCCAAGGCCACCGTGCCCAGCCCACGGAACCAACCCCTCTGTGACATCAGCCCCGGCCCGGGGGCACCAGCAGGGCCGTGGGGGCTGCGCTGGAGGTGACCCCCCGCTCCTGGCACTGCCACCCATGGCTTGGCTGTGGCTACTGGTCCTGCTGGCCCTGGCCGGTCCCGTGGGTGGCACCTGGGACAGCTGCAGGTCAGTGGCCCTGGGACGTGGGAGGGAGGTCGGGAACACTCGGGGGGTTCCCAGCAGAA